TGGTTCTCTTGCACCAGTTGGTCGCAATGTGTCGAAATCTGTTTTTTCGCTGAAGAAAGTCTGGCATTGCATTGCACAAACTAGGCAATTGTCTATGCCAGAGTTTCAAGAAAATATCTGAAACCATTGTGTGTATGTCGGCGTTTCAAGAAAATATTCCATGATCTCTTGCAGAGTCTCCTGACTGGATCAGTAGTAGATGCGCAAAGCTTCGTAGACGCGATCATCAAATACTGAGAGCGCGATCGCAAACGCCTGAAACATTTCAAGCACGATGCAGAAAAAGGAAACCAACCAGAAGGATCCAGGTACACCCTAAAGCAATAGCCGAATAGTTTTCTTGTTGCGACATTCACGAAATTTTGATGTGAAAAGATCCAAATGCCACCCCCACCTGTAAGGGGCTCAATGGCCCAGAAGCATCAAAGGAAAAGGACGTCTCATCCACCCGGCCGAATTGCATAGCCAGGAATTCCTCGGGGCACCATGACACGCAGGCCCCATGGTTTGGAATTTTTTGACGCCAAAAATGATCCACAAAGCGACATAGCGATCCCAATGACCCCCCACGTCAGCCACGTGTCCGGCGTCTCCGCTTTGAAGCTGCTGTCAGCCTGACACGAACCATGGCTGCGAAGTCGTTGTGGCTTAGCTCTGGATCATATTTGGGAATCCTAGAGCAAAAGATTGTGAGGTCAAGTCTGCGCTTGCCCACACCCGACAGATATGGGTATAGATATTGCTATAGAAGAAAAAATATCAAATATAGAATGTAGAATATAGATATGTACTTGAGGCCACAAAGAAGGCGACAAAAGCTAGTTGGGCAAGGAGAGATGTGTATTGAGAGAATATGTGGCGCGACCTCTTGACTTGAGTGTCATTTCTTGAACTGAAATCAGTTACCGTTACCATTCGACTCGAAGCTGCTGACACACTAACACCAGCGTATCATGATACATATTCTAGCTCGCATGCACCATAGTCATTCCACAACCCTCCCCCTGACATCCTAGCATACCAGCGTCAACATTACACTCCTAGTCCCCTAGTTGCTAAATACAAAGTGCCCCAACCGAACGCGCTTCGGTTGAGCCACTTTGCAACCATCTGATTGAACCTCTTTCCCTCGGCCTTTCCTTCCCTGTTCCCTTCCGTGACATATTACATTTGTATGAATATGTCCATGGTGAATATATCTGAGTATCTCTATCTGCCTAGCTACATGTCGATACATCTATAGTCTACCTGTATAGCTACATATAATATATATATATATATACACATATTATATATTTATGTATATCTACTATACGTACAAATATCTAAGTCTTAGAATCTCGTCACTTAGGTGCATACATCCATCGAGCAAGAAATGCTTGGGAATCTTAAGATGAGCATCTTCCATTCCTCGCCGAGACCGGGTCATGTTGTCATGCATCTTGAGGAAACGGAGTGCAAGACTCCAAGTGGTTGTTCTCTCATTACAACACATTACGTTACATTACATTACATTACACTACATTTGATTTGATTACATTAGGTTAGATTGCGTTAGATTAGCTGAGGTCGCATTAGATTAGATTCCATTACGCTAGATTACATTGGATTGGATTGCGTTACAGTACGGCACATTACATAGCATTGCACTGCAGTACATTGCAGTACATTCACAACATTGACGGTGAATATCATCTTGTATATGTCTGTGCGCGTGGGCATGCGACCGCGTGGTCACAGATGAAACCCAGCAGGATGGATGCAGCGGGGTTTGAGCGGTCACAGTTCGACTTGATTCATCATGTCCAATAGGGGGGTCCAAAACCAGTTAGACATGAAAGATCATGGAAGTTGCATCCAATCTGCCCCCAATTTAATTCATTGCTACAGCTAATCCAACTCCAGCTAGCAAGCTAGTTTTCGTGGTATAGATAAAGATGTAGATATAGATGATATAGACTGACATAGATATCGACTATAGATATGGATGTAGATATGGATATGGATATGGATATGCGTGAAAATATAGATATGGATATAGATGTGGAAATTGACATAGATGCATATTGCCCCAAAAGTCTACCATTTTTCTGTTATTACTGGTATTGGCAGTGTTTTAATAACATTTTGGCATATATTTTTGATGGAATAAATCTTGAAGGTTGCACATGGTTTTGGAACCTGTTTTCCAAATAGATTTGGGCATGAGGGGACGCCATATACAATGTAGATATATAATATAAATGGTACCCCCTCCCTCCAATAACGATAAAATAGTTTGTGCTTTGAAACTATCACATGGTTGGGTCCAAGGGGGTTGCCATACATATACATATATCAATGTTTAATATCCTCGTGGGGCAAGGGGATACATATACATATGTCAATGATATCCTCGTGGGGAAATATCCCACTACAAGGACTTAATGACTCTGACAAAGGCAGGTATGGGGAGGTACTAGTACCTGACTAGAGGTACTAGTACCTGACCCAATCAAAGATCAAAGATCAAAGATTTCTGAGGACTCCTGCAGACAATCTTTGATTGGGTCGAGTAGTATAGGGCCGATGTAGTAAACCTCTGCAGGAGTCCTGGGGAATCTTTGATCTTTGATTGGGTCAGGTACTAGTACCTCTAGTCAGGTACTAGTACCTGCATGTCTTCGTAAGTTGCATGAATTGGTGGTACACTTTGCTGAAGTAATATCATCATCTTCTCAAGCACTGTTATATCATCGATGGAATCTGCTATAAACTCATGTTACACTTTCTTGGAGGGATGCTACAGTAGACAGATTTGCCAAGAAACTCTTGACTTTTTAAAACTACATATATACGATACGTGTGTATATATATATGTGTGTGTGTATGTGATCATCTTCAGCTTTCCTTGATTGACACAGATTTTGCACAGTTTGCAGTAAAATTGCATTTTTTTCAAGCAAGTGCTGCACTAGTTTGAAAGAGATATTACAGGTAATTATGTTATTGCAATCTTTTCATAGGCATGTAGTACTTGTTTACAGCAAAAAGTTAGCTTTGCATTGTTTCAAGCAATTCTCTACTGTGTTTAAAAAGGTATTGCACCTTTTGAAAGTCACATAGCACTGTTTTCAAAGCAAAAAAAATCTCCACGGAATAGCTGCACTCTTTGAAAGGACATATTGCAAAAGTTGATGCTGCACTTGCTTTACAACAAAAAAGGGCTTTTGTATCCTCAATGGAATCTACAGTAGGCTCTGGCTACACTTTCTTACAGGAATGCTGCACACTTTCCAAACAAGAATCTACACTTTCAAATATAAACACATGTTTCAATGAATGTGCCACTTTATTGACAAAGATTTTGCAAGGTTTGAAGGGCCCTTTGACAGTAAGAATGCATACTGTCGCAATTAAAAACGAAATTCAATCTTGCAAAACAGCATACTACATTTTCCTACAGGAATGCTATGATTCTTGACTTGATTCAGTACATTTATTATATAGGAGGGTTCTCCCTGAAATTGGGAAGTAATGCTACACGTCTTTCAAAGAATGCAACCTTTTTCTTCAAAGGGTTGTCGTATATATTGAGGAATAGTGGTCTGTGTGCAAAGTCATTTTACAAGTATTGTTTGGTTACTTATTGTTCGGTCATTAATCCATAGAGAATATATTGCATGAATTGGTGCCTGTTTAAATTGCACATTTTTAAAATATTACTTATCTTTCAAACAATGAACTTTTTGCAGAGAGTTGTTGCATACATTGAGGAATGGTGTTCTTTATGCAAAGTCATTTTACCCGTGTTGTTTGCAAATTTATTTTTCTTTCACTTTTTATAGAGAACATGTTGCGTGAATTTAGAATGCACATGGTTTAAAGAACTATTGCGTTTGTTGGGGGAAACTCCTGTATAGAGATGTAGATTGTAGAGTCTATACGTTCTTAAAGCAATGCTTGCACGCTTTGCAAAGGCCTTTTTCACATACCATATCTCTTCACAAGTCTGCATCTCAAGGAAACTAAAGAAACCTTCACAAGTCTGCATCTGATGGAAAACAAAGAAACAACAGTGAACAAGGTATACTTTTGGGGGGGTGTAGCATATTAATATAGAAACATATGTTTATAGATATAGGATGATATAGGTATAACAGGTATAGATATCCAAAAACCCAGTTTTTCATGGACGTACAGGTTTGACCTGGTTTAACCACTTTTTGTGAGTTACGGCGGTTACGGTTTTCCCGTGGTGTTGGGGCTGTTGGGGACCACGTTTTCATCCGTCGCCTTGATCAGCTGGAAGTTCTTGGAGGATGCGCGCATGACACGATTGTGGAAGTTCATGCGATAGACCTTTCCTGATGACACTTTCTTCATAGGTTGTTCATAGGATTTACGGTAAATCTACGGTTAGTTCATGTGGATTTCTGGGTTTCCTATGGTTTCCTGTGAAAAATAGAGAAAGCCAATGACAAACCCCACTTCAAAGGCTGAAAGTTTGAGGTAGTTTCAAATCGATCAGAAAAAGAAAGCTGAACTGGCTGAACTTGCAAAAGACAAGATGTTGTCCATGTGGAGTAAGTGCCTCGAAACCAAGGGTTCTGTTGGTTGCAATTTGTGCGGAAGTTGCTGCTTTCAGCATGAGCAAATCATGGTCACACAGCAGATGTCAAGAAAATCCTGGAAAACTCTGTGGGTCCAACCCATTGCAGGCAAGCATCGAGCTGCATCCCACGTCGGAGATGTGTTCACCATGTAGCCAAACCTCAGTGAATCATCGAAGCGAAGCGAATCGAACCAAACCCAGCAGACCGCCGATCCCACGACAAGCAGCTGCTGTCGTGGCATGGTGCCCTCTGCAGCGGCCAAGAGCTGGCCCTCCTGGCGGTACCCTTGGGATCCTAATTTCTGCAAAACTGAAACTTGGAGCTTCATGGAGCTCCTAAAGAGCCATCGAAATGTGCCAAACTCTGGGCCAAGCATTTACACAGCCCCAGTAAACACAAAAATCATGACAAAACCACACAAATCGTGATTTCAACACAGTGGCATCATCCAGGTGTAGCAAGACCTTTGGCAGCGTCATGTTGCCTGACCACTGCGAGAAGAGTAGCTGGTGGTTCCATTGGGCAACACCACCTGCCTTGGCAATGCTGACATGTGCACTACAGTCACTACAGACTCAGCATAGATATCATATGTCAAAGTTGAAAAACATACTTTGCGCATTTTTGCGCTTGGTGATTCTTAGTGAAGTGTATGGGAAAGAACAGAGGTAGCCTGACCCGTGCTCGAAGCAAAATCTCCAAATTCCTGGGTTCCATCCCATTTTTTTGATGGTTAAACCCCCATTCGTTGATGCTTACACGCCTCATCTGAATAAGGTGTTGTACCGTTTTTTGGCACTCTACTCTACCCTACTCTACTCGGACTCTACTCTGCTCTGCTCGACTCGACCCAGCCAACTGGACTTAAGACTTCTGAGCTACATCTCTACTTCAGGAACATGTCAAATTTACTTAAGGCTTATTGGTAATGCTGAAGTTCACTTTCTGTAACTCGAAGTTTCTCTACGAAATGTTCTTTCTTTTTTTTGGGGGATCCCTCAGATACCTCAATGAAACTCTTCCACATTGTCACATCACCCTTGCAGTGAGCACTTTTCTGACAGTTGCTACCTATTTTTCTCAACAACAACACAATATATTTCGAAAGGGTCATCTTAGCCATTCCAATCATCCTCATCAGCGTTGAAAAAAATCCATCCTCTGCGCTGCCAAATCTCCAAATTGGATGTGATCCCCTATGGGAAATGATGGTTCCCCAATTCGTGGATGCTTCGCGGATGCTTAAATGCCACGTTTTAATAAATGGTCTTGGAAACATGTTTGCTCATTGTGTGGTAGGCAAATCATGGTAAATCCATGTAAATCCCCCAAAATAATTGTTGGTCAAATCAATATGTCCCATACCACAAGGACATGTTCTTGTTGATTGAAGCGACAATAGTCAATAGTCCCCATGTTCAGATAGTTCATTTTTCGATGGTTAGACCACCATTTTGGGATGATGGCCTTTTTTTAAGCAACCAAAATTGCTCAAGTCATGTAAAATATGTAAATGTCTGATTTAAGCCCCGTGTTTTTCAGACTTTTGGCTAAATCTTAACACATCGGGGCCATTGCCTGGCCAAAGTGCATCCTCCTGGGAGCATCGGTGGGTTTCCTGAAGCGCAACGCTGCGAGCTCCTCTCGCAGCGTTGCACTCGTTCCACTCGTTCCACTTCCACCGATCCTGTCCAAGCGCCACGGAGCCACGGAGTGAGATGATTTTTGATCTTCGAAATTCTTCGAAATGACCAAAGGTGAGAAAAATGTGTGGTTGAGTTCTGACAGTTCTGACATTCACCAGAAACTCAGAACAAAGCCACTTTGGCCCCAGCAAAACATCCAACAGCCCTGCCTCTGCCCATGCAACAGGTATTGTGTGCAGGTGGCATTCCCAGAAAGCCGGCCCAAGAAGCACGGCGAGTCGCGATCGAAATCCAAAGCCTGGCGTCGCTTTGCCCCAGTGACTGGTGACTTACTATGGTTATCCATGGTTGCCATTACTGTTCATATCTGTTCATAATGGAAGTGGAGAATCCCTGGGAGCTTGAACAGTTGCAAACTGGGATGCTCAAATGTCGCAGTCGCGATGCCATGATCACTACCCTGCCTGGTCCCGTATGAAGATACTGGGGTTCCCATGAATCGACCGGAAAATGTAGATGCCACAATTAACCCAAAAAACCAACCATCGTCAATTGGGGGATATTATGTCAAGTTATATAAATTATCATTCACCACATGATTGCTTGATTTCAAGACCCATCTTCCCATTTTCCCTTCCCCTCCACCCAAGGCACGTTTGAGGAGATCACGTAGTACGGACCCAACTTCAGCTGGCTCTGCCGTTCTGCTGCCATCAACAGCACCTGGAAAAAAGGAGTAGCCATGATTCAAACATGTCAAAAATTGGTGGTTCTTGGTTGTCTCGGTATAGTTTCGGATTTTTGATGATGTTCAACATGTCCAGAATATTGTGGTATTTTGGATATGTTCATCTATTTGTGGCTATGCGACCTACCAACTTAGGGCCAGATAAATTGATTACGATGATGGTGGGCACGAATGATGATGACGATAATGCTGATGATGCTGATGATGCTCATGATGATGCTCATGATCATGATCATGATCATGATCATGATCATGATGATGATGATGATGATGATGATGATGATGATGATGATTATGATTATGATTATGAGGACGACGACGACGACGACGACGACGATGATGATGACGATGACGACGACGACGACGATGATGATGATGACGATGACGATGACGATGACGATGACGATGACGATGACGATGACGAAATGAAATATTGAAGATGACGACCGTACTAGCAAGGAACTTGTGGTCCAGGGGGGTCCACGGGGACCAGGGGCAGATTGAACCCGGCCCCATCCAGGGGGAGGTATAACATTGAAAGTTTCAAGGTATTCAACGGTCCTGGTGCCTGCTTATTCCTTGCTAAAGCAACAGCAACTTCAGCTGGCACAAGCTTTCGTGATTTGGTCATTTTTTGTCACCATCCGATTTTTTGTCATGTTCAGCCTCCAATTTCTGGTGAAACCCAACCAATCCCAACAGCACCTCCTCAGAGTGGGGCGGGATCACATAGAGCCCATAGCGGGGTCGTTTCAGCCCCAGGCCGCCTGCACGCAGTACCTGCAGCCGACCTTGGAGCGTTCCCCTGGGCACCTGACTGGCAAAGTGGTGCCGGGCCATCATGGTCCCTAGCGCCGGCAGCAACCTGCGCAGTTTCGAAAAAAATTGCAACTGGAATTGAATTTTTGCCGGTCTTTCTCGGAGGGATGATTTTTCTTCAGGGGGATTGGCTTTTTGGTCACCCGTGGTATCTGTGTTGGAGTGTGGAGAGATAATCGGGTAGTTTGGAAGGTGACTTGGACGCTGGGCGCACATGGGACGGTTGAAGAACTCGCTGTTCCGCCGTTTCCGGGCCTGTGGCCGTGGCAACGAAGAACGATGAAGAACGACTTTTTCGGAGTCAAGTTGGCCTAGTGGGTTTTGACTCTGCATTTTTTGAAATCCAGAAGCCTTTAGTCTTCTTGCACCACATATATCCAACATGAGAAACACCTTCTCAGCCGGACCCCCCCACCTTTCGCTTTGCCGCTGGATCAAGCGATGTCGGATCGGCAGTGTCAGTAGGATCTTCGGTATCCACCTCAAATCGCCAAATCTAAGGGCTGAGGTCAAAAATCGACCGGCCACAGGTCACCAAGCTGATGTTACACAGTCTTGCCAGTAAACTCCCTCCATGTTTGGTGCTTGAAATCCTTATGGCCTTATGTTTTACCCAGTAAAACCACAATGTTGGTTGAGATCCCCATCGGCACAAGACACATGGCCTCTCTTAGAGGTGACGCAGATGGACTGGAGGGGCTGCCATCGGGTTCGATCGCCAGCGACTCCTCTACATCCTGGTGGGCATCGCACATCAAAACATGGGGGGAAAAAGGGGATCTATGATATTTTTGTGGCACCTTGTCGCGCTTTTCTGGCGGAACAAAGGGATCCCTAGGGATCCTATAACCAGCACAAATCAGAATGATTAATGGATGTAACCACTGAAAAAGTTGCATACAGCCAACCATTTTTGCCAACAACAATGAGGACGCATCCAACATCACATGGACCATTTTTACCTCGGAATATACAGGTCAAGTATCAGTTGGGATTCGGCCAAGCATCACCAGGCCGTCTCTACTGGTACCAACAGTGGAGAGATGGCAAGCCATGCGACGCCGCTCCCATTCGCATCCCCGTTGTTAATCCAATCAGAAATCCTGATCCGAAATCCCCAAATTCATAGAGAAAAGATTTGACTCTGCCAGTCTACTTGGCTGTATTTCTCCAGGAAGTCATTGTATACCATAATAATGCCATAATAATACACATACAAAAAATATACATAGAATGCATATGGGTGGGTTAAACAGTCAAACATTCCATCTTCTGGGCCAAAGATTTCATCTGTACCCAGGCTACTTCCAGCCACCTGGTCCCCCTGGTGTCAGGCCAAGAGGCTGTCAAGTGCCAAGAGGCCCAAGAGTTTGCCCTGTGCGGACCAGGGCTTGTAATTCCACATCGGCACGTGATGTCTGATTGTTTCATACCCAACAAAAAATGATGGTGATTCCATAATTCCACTTGAACAAACCAAATTATTCTTGTTGAACACCAGAAAAAATGAATAGGGTCCTGCCTGAAAACAACATCGCTGCAGAAAGCTGAGTCCTCTTTTCTTGCAGACAGAGCGGAGAGTTTGCAAACTCCAGATTGGGAACAGATTTTGGATATATAGATTTAGAGTCTAAGCTACGGGAACAAATGGTGCCTTGTCTCTTTCAGTGGAAGATCCACTTAGACAATCTGAAACAGACCCAGAATTGATAATCGATGAGTAGCAGTAGATTCAGCCAGTTTCTGAGACAGGCACAGGTGGAACCAAAAAACATAGATGAGTCACTGACAAGATTAGCGACTAGGATTTTCTTGGTGGTTGTAGTCGAGTTAATCAATGTTAATCAGTTAATCCGTGGATGTCAAAGGTTTTGTCACCTGTGACATCCTGTGACACTTGATGACACGTGTTCCCCAGAATATTGTCAGTTCCTCAGATCCACCTCAGGCTAGTGCAGGGCTCTCACATGTGCGAAGAACGCACCGGTGAACCGAGTTCGCTCTTTGGAACGGAGCATTGTTCAAGACTCACCGGGAAGATGATGTGATTGAGTCACAAATCGGCCACTGGGTTGCCATAGGTTGCCACATTAACTTTGCCACTGACTGCCACTAATGCTGAGGGTCAACCCTCACATTCTCTCTCCTGGCTGGAAGCTGCTGCCGAAGAATCTCAACGGGCTGATCGCGTCCGAGAAGTCGAATGGGATTTCGAGGGACCTCCAGGGACAAGGCCGAGATCACTCGAGAGAAGTCGATCGATACCTGTCGCGTCGCCCGGTGGAGGAATTCCCATGAAGTCACTTAAGTTAAGTCCCTTGGGAGAACTGGGAACTTGACCATCAACACTGCTGTTTGCATCCCCATTGAGATCCAAGTTCGTGTTGGCATCCCCAGATTCCATAGTATTCCCTCCAATCGTCGCTGCTTGACATCATGTTCAATGCCTGTGGTTCAAATTTCAAACCATCCCATTTGTGGATCCACAAGGATTTGACAGAAAGCAATACGATAGCAATCAAGAATCACCATCAACCAAACAACATCATACCCAATGATCAGAATATATGAAAGTAATTATATATAATTATATACACAGTTCATGAACATATTTTCAATTATATTCATATACATTAATATACAATATACGTTCTCCCTAGGTTCCCGGGACTTTTTTGGAGCCGCACCTGGTTTGAAGCTTCCAAGGCTTCCTTGTGTTCCTTTGCAGTGCAGGTGCTTCCCATGGCCACCAGTCTACGGCTTTGACGGAGACGCCGCTCGCTGGCCACCGGGTTTCGCACCCCAGTGGTTCACTGGTTCACAAAGTTCACAAAGGCAACTCTATGGCTGCAACATTTCTTGAGCCCAGCCTCGAGAAATTTCAGCAACGATTCATCAGTTTGATCCACAGAAAATTCGAGTCTGCAACAAAAACAACAATTTTCAAAACGATCAAACGATCTGGAGATTCAAAAACTCAAATTTTCAACATGTCCGGATCTCCGGCCTATGTCGATCCAGGGGACTGTTGCCGAACCTGTCCTCAATGTCCTGCATCCTGGAACGAAGCAGCTGGAAACAGCTAATGGCGTCTCGGGTCCTAAAGAAAAGGATGATTGGATGGTATAGTAAAATTAGTAAAATATCAATAGGAAATGCAGGTTGATTTCGGCCCTTCGGCCCCAAAACAATTGGAATGGGCATGCCTCGGATAACCATGGTGAGCATATCCATCGGGCCGCACCTGGCGGGTGCACGGGGCGGGATACGAAGCTGAGGCCCCTGAATTTTTGGACCCGCCCCATAAAGGCCTCAAATGCTGGATACCCTTGAGTTTCATCACAGACCTCCAGGCGCTGAAATTTGTGAAACTCAGCACTTGCCATGTTCCCCTCAGCACCCATGCCTGGGGAGAGCTGTCATCTCCCCCACTGGCTGCGAATCGAAGGCTTCCCAAGTCCTTGGGTGGCATGGTTTTCGGAATTGATTTGCAACAATTTGGAATCAGTCACAATTGTTCAAGTTGAAGGACTGTTCCGAAAACATTACAATAATTTATATAACCAAAACTCACATGGCCCGGATCCCCAATCAAAATGAAAGTTTCCTCTCAAGTCTAATGTCCCATCAAATGATTTAAATTTTATACCAAGAGAAACTGATGAACTGAATTTTATTCAACAATAAATGTTGGCCAATGCCATGTCAAATTTGTGTATTTGTTGCGACTTGGGCACTCCATTGCTTGCCATGAGCAAAGGTTGTTTGCAAAAAGATTGATTTTTGCGTGAAAGTGTGTGAACATTACCAAATATAATGAAACATTGTTTATTTTGAGCAAAAAACATGTGACATAACGATGAATCCTTAAATGTCAAAAAAATGGTGCAACTACTGACTTGTAAAGTTCATGAGCTGGAACCAAAGTTTCCGTTTCCCCTGCGCCAACATGCACCAACATGCACCAACATGCAATAACATGCACCAACATGCACCAACATGCACCAACATGCAATAACATGCACCAACATGCACCAACATGCACCAACATGCACCAACATGCAACAATTACTATGGAAATACAACAGTACTCCGGTTACCCGAATACTTGCCATGACCGTCAAATCATGTGGCATGGGAGTCCGCAAAAATGGATTTGTATCTTACACGGACATGTTCCAACCAAAACACGCAAAAAATAAAATCAATGTCCCGTCTGAAACGTAACGTGTGCTGTTGATGCTAACACGTGCCAAACATGAAACGAACCAGCTCAAATCAACACACACACACAATGTAGGTAAATATGTATATATATATATATCCCTGAACAGGGATATTGGCCAATTTTCTAATGTAGTATCTTGCAAACGGAATCGCATGTTTATGGATGCAAAATGGCCGCATGTGCACATCCATGAAACAGGAAGTTGCTGCATGCTGTCAATTTATCGTTTGTGCACGTGGAAAGGAATGCAAACAAATCAAACGCTGCGTTTGTCAAAGTGTTCAAGTTGTTCAGTGGAGTGGAGAACACATTTTTTTATCCAAATTTCAGACTCCAGTATAACACAATATTGGAACGACATTCGCCCGCGCAAATTGCAAGGATACCTAATGGTTTGTGCAACAAATCAATTCATTTTGACTTGGGTTGTGATGGGACTGATTTGCCACATTTAATCATGCAAGAATGTTCCAACCAAAATTGACGGACGTTTAAATTTTTCATCGATGACCCTCGCACAGCAGGATGCAACTTTTGTCAAGACGGGGTTGGCACTGCTGGTCAATTGCCAGGCTTGGATCTGGCCACCAAGCCCCTGAGTTGTTTCAGGGCGGTTGAAGGCGGGACGTGAAAAATTTCAACAAAGAGGAAATGAAATTTTACAACACATCAATGACCGTTGCCGCATGTAAGTTGTGAGTTTGACATTCAAACCTTCAGTTCGACCCTCAGTTCGTGCAAAAGGTTTGCGTGTGAGGTTTCAAAATTTCCTGTGCGACAACTCCCGTGCAACAACTCTTGTAAAGAACTCCTGCGTAACAACTCCTGTAGGAAAAACTCCTGTGTAACAACTCCGGTGGAAGAACGTGTGAAGGAAATCCTGTGTTTTTTTTGTGTAAGAACTTGTGTGTAACAATTTCTGTGCCATAACTCGTGCATAAACTGTAACAGTGCCTGTGTAAAAACTCCTGTGTGAAATCTCCTGTGTAAAATCTCCTGTGTAAACAACATGATTTAGACGATGCGTAGGATGTAGATGAATTGATTGAAGTTGATGTAGACGATGTCAATGATGAATGTGATATACAGATACATGAAGTTGATGTAGATGATGTTGGTGATGAATGTAGTGTCGTGAAGTTGATTGGACTTGATGTAGATGATGTAAATGATGACTGTGATTTACAAATACATGAAGTTGATGTTGGTGACGAATGTAGCGTCGTGAATTTGATTGAATTTGATTAAATGATGAATGTGATGCGCATGAAGTTGATGTACAGGGATGTTGGTGATGTAAACGAAGGAGTTGTTGTGTGGATGAAATGAAAATGGAATTTGGCAGCGGTTCTTTGAGAAAACCCCTTCGCAAGAGCCTTCAGAGAAAAAACATTTAGCACCCAACTACCGAGCACACTTGCACAAACAAATTTAAGAATCACAACCACAATTTCGAGTAACTCAGCATTACCTCTCACATTTTTCCCGAGAGCGTCTGAGCGCAGGGTTCTTCCAACAATGGGGGTCTGTAAAACGTTTTCTCATCTTCACATCTTCTCATCTTCACATCTTCTCATCCTCACATCTTCTCATCTTCACACCTTCTCATTTTCACATCTTCTCATCCTCACATCCTCACATCTTCACATCCTCACATCTTCTCATCTTCACATCTGCTCATCGCCTTCAAGAGAGAAATAGAGAGAGAATGTGAAGATGAGAAGATATGAGGACGTGAAGATGTGAGGATGTGAAGATGAGCAGATGTGAAGATGAGCAGATGTGAAGATGAGAAGATGTGAAGATGAGAAGATGTGAAGATGAACATATGTGAAGATGAGAAGATGTGAAGATGAGCAGATGTGAAGAACAGGTAGGCTCATCCATGTCGCGACGTGAGATGCTGGAGTGGTCGCAAGCCAGGCAAAAAGACATCCAGGATGCGTACAATGACACTCCTTCATGGACGGCCTTGGATGAAATCGTCCAACAACACAATTACAGCTTCTCATCCATAGCTGCGTGGCCTGTGGATGGTTGCCTTGTTTGCAAGCCTACAGAAAGGGCAACTATGCTGCTTGGCAGCTTCCAGGCCGCTTGCAACTTGGATGTCATCAAAGAAGATCTCGGCGTGTCTGTGACAAAGGTTGTTTCCATGTGTGAGACTGAAATGAATGTACATGGAGCTCCATCGAATTGGAAGGATTATTTCTGTGAGCACGATCTAGTTCATATTCATTGTCAGCTGGATGACATCACAGTGAAGCAGCCGGGGCGCGACTTGGAACGGCACGAAGCATTGCAAAAGAAATACCTCTCCAACTGTGGCAACGGTCAATCATTGCCGTCAACGGAGACAAGCCCATGCACATTTTGTTTCATTGCTTTGGTGGGATCAATCAGCGCTGCGGTTTTGTGGCAGCTTCTCTGTTGAAGACACTGTCGCATTCACCAAGAAGTCGCTGAAATCATCGACTGCTCTTATTTTTTGTCCTTGCCTCACTCCAAATCTCCTCGACTGAATCCAATACTTGTTGTATTTTGCATCCAGTTGAGCCTCTGTGTGAAGGGACCCTTCACCCACCCGTCTTCTTTGTCATTCGAAACTCGTCTGGAAGACGTGTGGATCATTTTCCTCGCCCACACTGCTTGATTCCTGAGTTGCTGCACAGAGATTTGCTTCTGGTTTTGGCCGACAAAGTTCAAAGGCTCGGACCTTAATGTGAGACTAAATTGGAAGAGCAGCAAAGATGGCTGTGATCTCTAAAAATGCTGTACAGTTCCGGTGGCATAAAAGCACAAAAAGCATAAGCCTTGCATCCGGTCGAAGTGCACACTCCCGGTCAGACATACGTATCTTCCACGCAGAAGTCACAACACAAACAAACACCAAGCAAGCACAAACGAGGCCGGAGCCCAACACAAACAAACAAAAGCCACCGAAGTTGCTGCACAGAGATTTGGGCTGAGGAAATTTTCCAGAGTCTGGCACATTGCCGGTGGGAGAACCCTTTCATCAGTTCGTCAAACAGCCCTTCGTCCCAACGTTCGCTTCATTGGCCGTCTCCTTGAAGAGCAGCAAGCGCTTTTCAGCCAAGACCGTTCTGACATCTGTGTCCAGTGCTTTGAGTTCTGCTTCGTGCCCAGCAAGCTCAATTGCCCTCTGAAAAGGTGGGCTGCTTGACTCTAAACACGGCTGCTTCAGAAGCAGAATGGGCTCGAATAAACGATGACACGCAAGTTGCTGGGGTCCACGAGCTGGGAGCTTTCAAGAAGATGCTCAACCTCTAGGAGAAATTCCCATGGTGACCTGAACACTCCAAAAACGGACTTTTTGCAAAATCTCTCTCGACCACTCCCCCATTCAAACGCATCTCGAGAAGAAACAAGTTTGGCGTCTACTGGGACTGCTTGAAGGAAAATGCACCTCAGGTGGTCATTTGCAGTAGTTGCAGTTGCCGTACGCTGGTGCTGTGCACCACAATGCTGAAAAAAACTTTTCCAGACCTAGTTTTTGAGGGTGCACCAAGGGGCAGCGTAAAGCCGCAAATCCTAAAGTTCAATTTTCTTCAAAACAAAAAATGATTTTAAAATAACTGCCAACTTTACACTTTACTACTTTATGGTTTTATAAATGATGCGATTTTCAATCTAAAATGTAAAACCAAAGGTAACTGAGAGAGGGGGGAATTCAAAAATAGCCACGAACTTTTTCGCAAGACTAGAAAGGGTGTTTTGGACTTGTTTCCGTTTCATCCTTTCCCAATGGATGAAAATTTTATCAAGTATTTCGCTGGTTTTGATCTTGGGGTCTTCAGGAACGCCGATTTGAAGCGGTTGATCAGTTCTGAAGAACAAGAGTGACAGCGCCCACCAGCAAAAAGAACATTTATTGAAGTGTGCTTTCAAGTTTTTTCCTGGTCACTAAAGTATTTCAGGGAAGTTTTTTTTGACCGGCGCCCTGTGCCTTTCGGCGGGTCGTGGTGTATTGAGACTTACTCGTCTACCACGTCACGATCGCGGCCCCGGGAATCGATCCGCGGCTTGCTGTCTATGCACGGTCCTGAGACGGGCATTATACCACTACTCGACGAGATCGCCTTTAAAGTATTTCAGGGAAGCTGCTTTTTTCTGAAGGCACGATTGCCTGCCAGCAGTGACGACGACAACGTTTTCTTAAACGCCGCGCGTATGCGACTGCAGCGTGGCAATGAAAAATCGAAGGCTATTGAGAGACTTTGCGCTGCTCGTCGGTGAATGCCTGATGCCATTTTCTGCTTCCATTTTTGGTTGCGCTTCTTTCTAATTTTCAATAGATGAAGCCACTTTGGCTTCATTTTCAACATTAGCGCTTGGCTTCAAACATGTCATTGACTATGGACAAAATTCCGCAGTTTGGGAGCATGTCTGTCATGAAGGTTTCCAGTGCAAGAAGCAATCTTGACATGTCCCAAGGTGATAGCACATGCAAATCGATCGATGGATGCGCCTGTCGTCCATCTCGTCCTGTTTATCAACATCCATGTTTCCATACAC